AAAATTAGGTGTCTATTTACTTGTGACCACTCAGTGTATACTAAGTATAACTGCTACATTCACGATTCAATAAGACAGATGAGATAGGACAGACACGGTAGTGATTGAGACCCTATTTACATTATCAATTTTGCATAAACAACCGTTATGGCGTGAAGATTAATTTAAGTTGGTGGAGCGCAATTCCTCTTCAAAAATGACAAACTATATGATTCAAAATGTATTTAAATCAAGACCAAAACACGCCATGTGAAGAAGCAAATAACAAAATATAGTAAAATGAAATAAAGAATTAGTTTAGTGGAATGAATATTATATAAATAAATTATTAAAGGAAGACACACTATATAAATACCGTAAGACAATTTGTGAAAATTTTTCCAACCCGAAAAGGACCTGTTTATTATCAAGATTTAATAGAGAGTAAACTCGCAAGATTACTAGGTAACAATTTCTGCCTTTCCTGTTGAAAAACTTAGATCTAAACAACGTGTATATATATATATTGTATTATACCAAGCTAGGCTACTAAGGGTATCGCCGCCGTTCCTAATTTCAGCTTTGGACCAGAGAGAGAGAATATTAATGCAGCCTATCAGCAGAACCCTACAGATTGATTTTCACTTTTATAATGCACCTAAAGATGACAGTGTAGGAGGAATAATTTTTGTGACATTGCAAAGATTCAACCTTTGATCACTTGCTCCGAAATCCAGAGCTCTACCACAGGGCCAACCTGCTTTCACTCTGAAACAAATAACGAAACTCATCAACCAATTGACCCAGTTCAAACACAAATCGCAAATTCTGTTGGGTTAGAGCAATCACATTAGACAAGTAATTTATGGTTTAAGTATCTAAATCAACTAAGAGCTCTCGCCAGGTCTGCAAATAAGATAGATAAATATTTTCAAAACAAACATTGGCCTTAATAACTTTCTAATTAAGATATTTAGTTGAAGAAAATACAGTTTCACACTAATATTGGTTAAACTGGTAAAATAGTCTTCATTTAATTAACAACGTTAGACAACAAACATTTCTTCGGTTCTTGCTGTGACAACTAATAATCAGGAAAGTCACAATTATTCAAAGTATTTTCAACCTTACACACAATCTTTCTGAATTTAAAATAACTTTTTTGTACATTTGAAACCAAATTTTATAAAACATAGCAAATATGATTTATTGTTTATTACAAATTATCCTTTTCCAAAAGAGCAATCATTTTTAATTAAATGGATAACGATCTAGCTCGCCATATGCTATATAGTTAGCTGTTTATTTCTCAGATATAATATATTATAAAACTGAAGCAATAGTGATTCGATAATATCTCCATTTTCATAGCCCCATACTTCTGACCATTACAATACAATAGATCAATTAAAGTTCATTGTCATCTTGCCATTTCCTTGTCGGAACTCATTGGAATATTTTGTTTAGTATTTGATCTTCTTAATATGGAAAATAATATATTTTTATGCTGCAAAAAATGATGAGATTGGAAACGAAAATGGCTCATGGTAAATAAATAAAAGTAAAAAATAATAAATAGACAATATCTTTAAAACTGTCTGCCAAAGTAAACAAAAACGAAGAGGGACAGAAGTTAGAAGCTTAGGAGGCAAAGTAAAAGTGGGGGGGGGGAGGCGATTAGGGCTCGCCTTAAGGACTCTGAATTAAATTTTATACATTCTCCTGCTTTTCCTGAGAGTAAGCTTCCTAATTAAAATGCGTTTTTTTCTGAGACAGATGGAAAAGTTGGAGCCCCACCTCAACTCACTTCCTACGCCACTGAAGAAAATATAATTCCTGTATTCAAAATTGTTGGGACTTAGGTAGAATCCTTTTTCGAAATTATTTTGATTTATGGACTAACATGGTTGATGATAATGACTTTCATATTGTTAAAAGTAATGAAAACTTACAAAACTAGATTCACACTTGCCTTAACAGGCAGAATATGTTATTGTTTATAATAAATATACTATGTGCTGATTAACTTGGATTCATTTGCGATTTATTAAATAGGTATAGTTAATTGTGTTGATGTTTCGTTTTCTTTGGATCAGGGTGGTCTAGATTCTCTATAAGAACAAATTGACCTGCCGATCACCTTGTTCGTCCTTATATCAAAGCTTGTTCTCTGTAACCATAATTTAAAATAAACTATACAAGATTCTTTAAAACCTCAAGTTTGTTTATTGGTTGTAACACAAATTCTACACAATAAGCTATCTGCACTTGGTCCATTCCGGGGGAATCGAACCCCAGATTTTAGTGTTGTAAGTGCTGAAGTTTACCGCTGAGCCACTGAGTTACGAAAACCGTAACTGGACCGATTATTTAAATTATATTTTCCGAAGTAATAAAAGCTAAAAACGTTTATCTGGTTTTATTTTGCTTTTATCTAAGCTTTTAACTAATCTTGACAAGGTATATCCTAACTTATTTATCTGTGTACTTACATAAAAGAACGTTTATGTTTATAAAATATACTGTAATTTATTTTTTAGTTGTACTTGAATAGTGCCATTTACATTCAATAGCTTTATTGCAGGTTAAGCCTTTTCTTTGGCATAATTCACAAGCGGGAAGAGGAACAGTATTGTATGCAACGAAACAATAAATAAAACAGTTGTAACACTTAATTTATCAAAAATAAATATGATAATGTTTTTCCTAGCTACAAAAACCAGTTATATGACCTATAGTATGGGTTGTTTTGAATTTCGCGACGTCCCTAATTTAGCAGTAATAGACTAGAATGAAGACAGCTAGTTAACCCTACCCACCGCCAACTCTTGGGTTACTCGTTTACCAACGAATAGTGAGATTGGCCATCACATTATAACTCTCCCACTGCTGAAAGGGCGGTGACGGGGATTCGAACCTGCGACCTCAGAATGCGATTCAAGCTCCCTAACCACTAAGTCATGCTTTTTTACTGAAGTGGGTGTCTATATATTTATTGATAAGGTGTGTATATCAGAAACAACACACCATTGAAAAACACTCTTGCAAACTATAGATTTTCGAGTGTTTAATAATAATAATAAGGATTGAAACCACTGAATGATTAAGCAGAGTAGAAAATAAATATACTTGTCTATTATATTGTATGTTTTTTCTTATGCTTTTAAGACATAAAGACTTCTTAGTGTGCAGAGCAAGCGATGTTTTTTTATAGAAAGAATGGAATTTATATTTTCCTTAATGTAAAGAATTATATACAGTTGTACACATTTTTGAAGATATTCATTAATTTATAACTTGCACTTTTATTAACTGTAATGAACTTTATATATATGCTACTCTCCAGCGAACAATGTTTAAATAAATAAAAATGCACGACATTTAACGCCATCTTGTGGCTATGTTTATAGCGATATATTGACGCTAGGAATAACACTGTAAGTTGCAGTTTCTGAGAGTTGTGACGGGATTAACGTTACTCAGTTCTCTGACTCTGTTCTCGTTCTTACCATAGGTGAGTAGAATTGGAAAACTTTCTATTTAAAAGGTTTTACTGTTTAACTGCTGTAACTATTTTTATTGGAAATGCACGTAGAGTTTCTGTGATTCCTTTTAATTTACGTAGAGAATGTGGATATTTACAAGGTGAGCCAAGGCGTAAACACCGGTCGCCATTTCGCTAGAAAGCCAGCCTCGAGATAAGTTGAAAGAATCTCTTTGTCGCTGTATACTGGGTGCTGGTTATGTGTCACAGGTCCTGTTTTATATCTCTCTGTCGCTGCATATTGGGCGCTGGTTATGTGTAACAGTACCTGTTTTATATCTCTTTTTCGCTGCATATTAGGTATTTTTATGTGTCACAGGACCTGTTTTATAGCTCACTGTCGCTGCATATTGGGTGCTGGTTATGTGTCACAGTGCATTTTTGTATCTTTTTTTCGCTGCATATCGGATACTGGTTATGTGTCGCAAGATCTGTTTTCTAACTCCTTTTCGCTGCATATTGGGTGCTGATTATGTGTCGCAGGATCTATTTTATATCTCTTTTTTCGCTGCATATTGGATGCAGGTTCTGTGTCGCCGTATCTGTTTTATATCTCTTTTTTTCGCTATTTAATGGATGATGGTTATTTGTGTCACAAGACCTGTTATAGAGAATAGCTTAGTATTAATGCAAAATCAATCTATAACATCCATCAAGGCCAGCCTTTATTTTATTTGTTTTAAATCGAATATTTAATTGCTCTCCATTATCATTTTTATTAATTTTATTCAACTTAAGAAAAATGATGTTTTAATTAACGTAAGTAACTTATTTTCATATGTTACGTTTCTTGCAGTGTTACTTATGTATGTTAGTTATATGAAAACGCAAAAAAGATTTTAAACGAAGGCTGAAATATGGAAGAAGCTATATAAGCTTTACAGTTATAATTTTTAGAGAAACCCTTTAAAGCCACAAAGCTAACTAATAAAGAAAAGTGTGTTTTCATGATACAAAGACTATCTGAAAATACTGATTAAGATAAAAGGTTTTACAGTCATAGCTAAAGTACGTGAGTGTAACCAACCAGTATATTTATATTGAGCTCGTAACCTAGAGCATGCTCCTAAATCTCAGAATACACAGTATTTCTTTTACAGAATTGAATTATAAAAATTTTGTGTTTACAAAATCTTTTTGTTAGAATATTCTATAAATGTATTGACATTTCTGATAATTCACGACTTTTAAAAGAAACCAAATGTAAGTTGAGGTATATTTGGAGTAATTTTAAGTTTTGGTTGCTGTTTAATTTATGTAAAGAAATTCTACAAGTTTTGAAAGACGATGGAGAATAAGTTGAATAAATCTGCAATGTTACGAGTATTGTAATTAAAGACATATTTGATGCAAAATAATTTCGCTGTGTGTCTTCTTTTATTGTTGCTTACTTTTGTTTAAGTTTTATTATTTTAGGTATTTTCAATAAGGTGTGGTGCAGAATTTGACATATTTTGTAGCTTTACTTATTATGCTTATTTATACAGAACATTAACTTAGAGCCTCAGGTTTTGTTGATAAACGTTTTGTATTTATTAAATGTATCAGCCTTGAAACATTTATGCGGACTAAAAATTTTTTATATTGTTTTTTTCTTGATTATAATGCAAAGAATTGGAAATATGGTGCTTCTTATTGCTAAGACTATCATAGTACGAAACTTACATTGAATAAACAATCAGTTAGTAAGATATCTCAAAATATACTTACATTGCTTTTTCTTATTCTTAGGTATAGAACCTACACATAACATTTGTTATGTGGTCTTCAAGGTTGGCTGTCTGGCTTCTAGTCTTGTACTTGGGCTCGGTCCAGGTAGGTAGAATTTTATAAGTTATTTGAAATAATGGAACACCTTGTATTGTCTTTCTTTTACGTTAATTTTTTATTTGTTAAATTGATATTTGTAAATGTTACGGCAACAAAACTGATTTTTTATCATCATTGTTTAGAAGATAAATTATTTTGCTTGTGTATTTTAACTTGTATTTATTGACTTACTTTAGCGGCAGAGCGAGTATATTAAGAGGTACAGGTTAAGTAATTAGCTCCACACCAGTGTGAGTGCAGAAAACTAGAGACCGGACAGTTTACGTTCCTGTTTTTCACTGTCGCGTGACGGTGAGTTATGCATAATAAATGTACTCGAGGAACGTATAAAATTGCTTTCCACCTGAATACACATGTTATAAGTTCTTAAGATGACTTTTTAAATCAATACTAATTACGACTTTTCTACTGTCATAAAACAGTAACTATATAAATATATGTATAATCGTAATGAAAGTTAACAGTGCTGTAAGATGAATGTATTTAATGAATGCGATATATATATGTATATATTCAAGAAGAAGAAGGATACGTTTTTTCATCGTAAAACCAAAAGATCATCGTTTTACTTTCCGTCTCTTATTGTTGTCTGGATTACAGGAATTTCAAGGTGTATGAACACGTAAGAATGCTGTTTGTCTAAACAGAGACAGCGACGGAAAGCTTGTTGCATCAAATTGTGCATTATCGAGCCGTAATAACCTGTCAAGTAAAGGCAAATTGATAATCACATTGTTATTATTCTATTTTCAGATGTTGAATATTTTAAGACAAAAATACAGATTGCCTCTCATAATTTTGTGTACTGCTCGCTAGAGTAACTCGTGACTTAAGAAAAAATGACCATTAATTATTATTTAGAAAAATAATCTGGTTTACAGACAATTTTGGGTGAGATAAAGGCCCGAACGTGGCTAGTGCTTAGCTTATCTGGCTCAAAATCTGAGGGTCTTGAATTCAGAAATGGTTCAACAATCACGTTTCGCACTTTCAGCTGAGGATGCTTTATAAGAGTGTCATTCAACTTCACTATTCGGTTAAGAGTAGCCACTTCAGTCGGCGGGTATTGCTGATTGTTTGCTTTCCCTCTGATCGCATTTCACAATTTGGAACGGCATTTCCTGAACCATAGGGACCCTTGACTTGATCGCTCAGCTCATTCTTTGATGAGGTGTTATTCAGGTGAACAAAGAAAGAAAGAAACAAACTTGTGTGGGTTAGGAGAGAAGATCCGATGGTACTACTGGTACTGTACTGCTGCTACTACTACTACTACTACTAGAGCAGCGTCTCTCAACGTGTGCGATACCAGGAACCGGCTCGCTTTCTCCCGAAACTGTCGCGGGGCCACTAAAATGCAAATACAACGAAAAGCTATTGGGATTTATGTATGAATATTCTGTCAGTTTTTAGTTGTTTCTGTGATCAACCGCTAAGATGGCTGTGATGGACCGTCTTCGGTCCGCCGACCGATGATTGAGAACCACTGTATTAGAGCATAACGGAAATATCTTGCAAGTGGCCTTCAAACCGAACTTTTTGCATAAAAATAAATTGAAATACAATTTAAAACTAATAAAAATTTGGTAGAAGCTTGCTACTTTACCCAGCATGTTTGTGATTTAAATAGATGAAATATAGTAACAAACATTATTATTATTTTCTCCAGATTCAATTGTTATGTTTTTGACTCTTCTTTTTTTTTTTTTATATATAAAGGTGTGTTATAATACATCATTATTAAACTAGATTATTAAAGGGTGCACATTTCAATTTTTTTGTCGGGACCAATTTGGAATGTGATTGAGACTTGGCGGGACATATTATTTCTTCCTCCGAAAATTTTTGAGGCCATTGCGTTTTCTATTAACTCTAAAGACTATTTAACAAAATTTCTATTAAACTGTGATGCAGAAAATCTTAAATTTAATAACAGACAAAAATAGATTAAAACGAAAAACAACTTAACTTTACGCACTGTAATTTAGCCCTGCGTGGCCAGGTGGTTAGGGCGCTTGACTCGCAATCTGAGGGTCGCGGGTTCGAATCCCCGTCCCGTCAAACATGCTCGCCCTTTCAGGCGTGGAGGCGTTATAATGTGACGGTCAATCCCACTATTCTTTGGTAAAATAATAGCCCAAGAGTTGGCGGTGGGTGGTGATGACTAGTTTCCTTCCCTCTAGTCTTTCACTACTAAATGAGGGACAGCTAGCGAAAGCCCTCGTATAGCTTTGCGCGAAAATCAAAACAAACCAAACCGCACAATAATTTCGTGTCACGAGCCGTACAAAATGAGCTGGTGGACCAAATTTGGCCCGCGGACCGTATATTATGCACTTCATACGCAAAATTTCAATTATAACAATTTAATAAATTCATAGTTAACTATGACCATAATTGTAAGTGATATGCTTTTTTCATTCCAAAATAGTGTAATTAAGTTTAATTGCATTAGAACTTATTCAAGAGTCATCCTTTATCCCATTTAACTGATAGTAATACCATTGGCATAAGAAATAAATAGATTAAGATAGAATTAACAGTTTCATGAAAATTATTGACATCATTGTCAAATTTTCATGCATTAATAAAACGATAAAGGCAACCTGCTCTACAGATTTCTTTATTAGTGTGTGTGTGTGTGTGTGTTTTTATTGGAACATACTGAAGATGAAACTTTTTTTTTTAGCACTGGCTTATACCAATTCCCTCATGTTTGTATATGATATACAACTCAAGTACACGTATCAACATCTTTGATCTTTCACAACTATAGACAATATCCCATATTAAGGGGTCGATAATATTGGTGTAACTATGTTTCTTCGTGGGAACCTACGCACTTCAAAACCCATGGAAACTTCCATCTAATTCTTTGGAGTTTTTCTCTATACTTGATATTTGAATAGAGCCCCTTCAAACATTTCGATATATATATATTAGTGGGGGAAAAGAAAATGGTTATCTCCAGTTCTCCAAAGTCAATAGAGCTAATTAGTTCTTGAGTACATATCTTGATAAAAAGCAATAATAGGAGATTTCGATGTTGTGAAAACTGTTTCAGTCCCGAATCTCTTTTGTTAATCTGAACAAAAATCAACATACAATAACAACGAAAAATATCCCCATTAGCTACTAAATGGTAAGGTTATCATGTAATGTGAGCTTTATTCATTCCCTATGTATATATAAACTTAGGTTAAAAGAACGAAATGATAGTGTGTTGTTTAAATAAATTTAGTACAATCGTGAATCTTCTTGCTACCACACTTGAAGACTCAATATTTTTAGCAAGTAATATGACAGATTATGTGTTTAATTGTCAAGCGTTATTTTATTATAGCATCATGAAAAAATCTTATATAACTCGTATGTTTTCAGTGGCTCAGCGATAAGAATGAAGACTTATAACGCTAAAAACCGGATTTCGATAACAACGGTGGGCACAGCACAGATAGCCCATTGTGTAGCTTTGCGTACTTAGAACAAACAAGTAAACTAACGTAAC